TGTCTTCCGTTGGTGGATTTAGCAATTTATTAAAGTAATTTAACCATTCATTTGGTGTTATTGAATTATGTATTTCATTACTGTTTCTATCATCATCTAAATCTCGTAATAATTTCCAGAATTTAGAGGAATCTCCTTTTAAACTCTCAAGTTCATTTAGTTACAAAACTTTAAATTCATTTCTCTTTTTTTTCAGTGTTTTTTTATATTCCTTTTTAATACAGAAAAATCTGCTTCTAATATATGGATCTCTTGGATATTTCTAAAGAAGAGATGAAATATTTCTAAACTCTTGGTCAAACCATAATTGCTTTTTCTTTTTGGGTTTAGTATTCTTTTTCCTTTTTGGTGTTATTTTTTTTCAGGCTTTTGTCAGCTATGGATGAGACAAATGAAATATAATCAGAGACAGGCTTGGTCGGGTCTTCATGCAAACTATGACCAACTGAAGTTTGAATAAAATGTGATGTCCACTCATAGGATGCAGCAGGTATGTAAATGTGGCAATATCCAGTACGTGTAAGTGACTCTACAAGTTTGCAGGAAGTAGCATATTGGTGATTGTGAGTTTGCAGGCAGCACAGAACTGATGATTCAAGTTTGACGTCTGGGTTTGACGCGATGCAAGATTGGGAGCATTTACAGTTTCATTCAAAGCCTGTGGTATTATGATGTCTATATGCTTGCTATACTAGTAGTCATGAAATGTGAGTTTATTATAAATATACCGGTTACATGTTCAGTATATGATTTTTGTATTACAAGTATTACATATTGGTTGCTTGAGAATAACTGAAAATCACCAATTGAAAATTGTTGTACTGGGCTGCTGTAGAGTGAAGTCGGGCAGTTCTGAAGTTGACTTGTTAGCATTACACCCATTAACAGAAATGTAAATTAATGGGCAAATATTAGTAATAAAAATTGTTATATTAAATATGCTACAATGATCCCATTGTATTACATACATTGTACATTTCTACATTGTAGACTATTTAAACTCTTAATTGTTGTGTATTTATGAGAAAAAAAAGATCATATTGATATCAGAATCAGTATCTACAGTTAGCGTGTATCAAAACTCTCAATCATCAGTCCTTTGTTGCCTGCCTATAGTCGCTAATACGCACTGAGCTTCACTCGCACATACCAGATATTGCCACATTTACATACCTTGCAGTGCTCTTTACAATGCCAATGAGTTGAGATCAGTCGTTTTTGAGGGCATGACATTTTTTTGCTATCATCTGAAATTGCAATTCCTTTTTTTCCTTTAATAATACATGTACTGCTGTTCTATTTGTTGTTGACTTCAGTGACATAGCAATCACTGTTTTTTGTTGTTGATTTCAGTGACATAGCAATCACTGTTTTTTGTTGTTGATTTCAGTGAGACATGCAATGCTATACTGGTAATATGTGAATTGTCAAATTCATTGATATGCAATATTGCGTTTGAACATCTAATCCGACACATGGACTATCGCCACTATTTTGATTATGGCTCTGTCATTTGTACACTTATTGGAGGCATGAAAGGGGGTCTAAAAACTAACTCTGCGACATGATTGTGTGACTCGCCGAATGTCAATTATTGTACTCTCCAAATGGGTTGCAGTGTCACTCTGTGATGAGTACGATTCCCATTGGTTTATTGGTCGAAAAGCAATGGTTGATTGATGCCCATATTACTTCTTTATTTACAGCGCAAGGTACTATGGTAAACAAGTGTGTAAACACTACATGTATGTATCGGCAATATGCCACACTGTTCGGTGATCCGCAAGCATTCCTGTGTTTGACTGAACTGACACAGTTGGGACTGCTTTTTAGATTTGTCAAATGAAAACGGTAACCAAGAGTCAAAGCTGTTTCAAATGATTTTTTTTCTTGCAAGGATAGAAACTAATAGATGGAAACATCAACTGCATCACTTATGGTGATCAATGATTTGAATGCTTTCCAGAATAACTGTATTTGGTGTTCATTTTGATGTAATGTGTCAAAATTTTTGGTTCTCAATTTCTTTACTCATCGGTTTCAGATTATGTACTA